GTGGGGAAAAACTTTCCTTTTTTATTAACCTAAATAGAAAAATATCTAACCAACTAAGACACAGTCTAGCAATCACTTTTGCTTTCAAACGTGAAGATTTAGTGGAAAATCTGTCAATGTGCCTATTATGGCAACTGCGGGTGCTGAGATTGTCCAGGATGGGCAGGACTGGCCAGGAAAGCTCTTTACGTGACTCACTGTTGATGAGAGGATCTACCTGACATAGCCAGCTGAGACACAGCAACTACTGCTCTTCATTTACTGTAGGAGGTTTTTCACCTGCAGACAGCAAATTGTCTGAATCACTCATTAGTATCATGAACTAAACCAACATTGTAAAAGCTTGACTGTCTCGGGTACCACAATAGAGTGATCCAGCCGTGCACCATCATTTCCAGTATAAGGCAGCCACTAATAATGATTTTCCTATATTATGACCTATTTTAGATATATATATACACACAGAGATTTGTGTATATTTAATATTTAAATAATGGGAAGACATTGCTTTAGAAACCATGGCTGTCTCTGCTTCCATCTGCAAATTCTGACATCATGTCTTACGATTTGTTCCCATTTCTAACCCGCATCGTTCATCTTTTGCTGCTGTTGACCTGACTCAGAACCAAATCACCAGCAAACGTCACCGTCACCTAATTCTTCAGTGTTCTCCTATGGAGGAGAAGGAAGGAAAAGGGAAAGAAATACAACTGTCCCTTTAAAAACCTAAGCATTTAAGCTGCGTGTCAGTTGTCTTCCTGACAAGGCCACTTGAATGTATTCAGGAATATTTGCATAAATGCTCACAGTGAGTTCACCGTGGCAGCTAGCGCTAATGGTACATAAAGTAATTTAGTCACTTCTCTTAGGCATCCTGTCAGGGTGATAAGCACCCCCTCTTTGCCTTGTTGCATATTAGATCATTAGATAATAAAGTGTTAGAGCATGCAAACTGACAGGGTCTCAGGGACTATCATTTTTCGAGGGCATTGCATTCTGCCAGTGAGGAAAAATAATAGAGAAACTGATGCTGCAATTGGCTTTGCATTCTTGTAAAGCCATTCAAAGATTTGGGGGGGGGAAGAAATTTTATTTTGCAGTGATATGAGAACTGGAAACTTTGCAGACATCTGTAGTGGTGGGCTTCAGGCTGGTTAACTTGAGAAGGGTTGTTGCAAACCCTGTCAGAATTCCCCCCTTCCATAAGCCACTCAAATTGCATTGGAAAGATTTTGCTTTTAAAATTGACAGCCTGGGATGAACTACAAGCTGAAACATATTCTACTGGTTGGGGCCTATTGGGTCTTCACTATACATCTTACTATATATGTACAATTTAGAAAGGTCAACCACACCGGCTTTCTGGTTTACCATAAATATAAAACAAGTGAGGATCTAACCATTTGTGAATGAAAAAGTGATAATTACTGAAAACCACTGATTACTGTGGCTTACCCTATTTATACCACACTGAGATGTATGAAATAATTGGCCTCTGCCAGCTATTACTTTTGAAAGATAGATACATTTATTTGAAATACAAGCTTCTTAACCCCCTGGTTTCAAGGAGGACAGTGTGTGGATATGTAACCATGATCTAGGTTCCTAGTTATATTGATCTAGTTCCTAGTTAATATGATCTAGGTTCCTAGTTATATTCAGAGAGACGAGCTACGAAAAGGAACTTTCATTTTACCGACAAGCAAGATATAAATAGAGATGAGTTGGATGTCCCAAAAATAACCCAGGCTACCTTCTAATGAGATGGTAAAACCCAAATGTGGAGACATCAGGCTCCCGAGTGGCTTGGGGCGTAAAGCTTTCTTTCCAGCTTTTTGGCATCCAAAGTCTCTTTTAGGTGTCACATAAACTGCAACTCCATGTTTAAGAGCAGCATGTCCCAACACAACTATGTAAGGAAAAATAAGCTGGATATTGTCTAAGTAAACTAGGCAACCAGCACACCTTCTTGCTACATCCCATCTCCCCTTTCCCCCGTCCTCACAGTCAGGCATTCATGTCTATTGTGACTGAATGCTTGTGTTGAAGAGTTAACATCTAGAAAGGTACACAGGAGTCCATTTAGTCAAGGGCATGTTATAGTTAGATCCTAGCTTTAAAAACCTATGATCAGAAGCTGCTCTCCAGAGCAATAGACCAGAGACAAACTAGCCATGACTACATTAGCTTCCCATTTCACCATTTACAGGTACTGCTGAGGTCAACCTGCCCTCCCCCAAGAGAGGCTGAAAAGTTGGAAAGAGGAAAGGCAAACAAACGGTCTCTGCTACTTACACTTGAAGATACTATCCAAGATAAAAATTCCAAAAACTGAAGAAAAATAATATACTTTGTGACTCAAACTAAACATAAAAAATTTAATTTCAGCGGAGGAAAGCGTCATCTGTTCCAACAGGTTTAAGGTTCATGGTGGTTGCCCAAAATTCAATAGCATTAAGCCCAGTTGAAACTTTTCCTATTTTTTTTCCATTCATTTAAGTGTTTTAGACATCTAATAACAACATCTAAAACAGTTACTGGATTTTTCTTTTTAATTCCTTTTTTTTTTTCCCCCCTGTCTCTTGGACTCAAATGTGCATAGACTGGAGAGCTAGACTGAAGGATATAGGTCAAAAAGAAAGGCTCCACCAAGCCTTTGAGAAGACTGCAATTTTGTAGTGGAGCTTGCTATTCAAAAGTCAGGATTTACTAGTGGTTGTTTTATGAGGTTGCTTGAGAGGTGCCTGAGAAAGTAGATTAGAAAAATCACCTTTCCCACAAAACGTACATGTGGAGATATTTTGCAGATGTTGACTTTTAATGTTAGCACAGTAACTAGCATTTGTGTAAATAGGTAAGCACGGCATTATCTTTTTTTGCTTCTTTTTACTAACAGAATCCCACAGGTAGTGGGAGTGGGAACGATAGCTGTGGTAAAATGAAATGCTATTACGCCATGCATGGGAATAAGAACATTTATGTGTGAGAAAGATAAGTGTCGCCTTGACCAAAAGCATGCACTGACAAGACTGCAGTGTGGGGGCGGAGGGGGAAAGAAAAGGCTACTTCAGTAGGAACGTAAGCAGAAAACGGGAGTCTTTTTTTGAAAGACTAGACTTAATGGAAAGATTACAAGGTTGAACAGAGAGAAGTTTCCTTTTGTAATGTTCTGCCTTCTGCTAATTAATAAAGACAGAGTTCGTACATTCCTTACAAAAATTCAGCAAAAATTATGACATTGGTTTGTTTATTAAATTAGGTTGTTGGCAGGATGAAAAAAAAAATTCTATAACATGAATTATGGCTGAAAATGGCTCATAGCCTACATAAAAAGTTAGAGCTAAATAAATACAGATGTAAGTTATGTTTATATAATGAGAAACGCTGCTGAGCTAAGAATTTTAGGTTAGTAAGTGTGAACTACAGACCCAATTCTGCAAACACTTACCAATACCCTCAACTTTACTGACACAAGAAGCCTCATTGATCCCAACAGGACCATATGTGCGCATAATCTTAAATATATGCATAAGTGCTTGCAGGACTGATGCCTGAAAGCATAAACAGAATAGAAAGCTATTTCCACAGGAATCCACTGAGCAGTAGAAACCCACACATTTGCCCATTTCTCTGTATTAATAATTTCTTTTAACATATCTAGCTAACATTTTTCTGAGTGACATTCACTTTCCCAGAGAAAATTTTATCTGGTGTCTTCGAACTCTTTGGAAAAATCTATTTAATTATTCATCAGATCCTTGGCAAATATTTGTGAAACAAGCCAGCATAAAGGACTGGTGCCTTCCATACTCAACTACTTCAATGGAAGCTGAGGGTACACATGTCTTAGAGGGAGCAAGCACCTATTGAATTTAGGATTACAAACAGCTTTGAAGACAAAGAGCTATTCTACCAAGCTGGAACAGGGAGAGGGGAGTGAAATGCTCTGTTTTTGTTTTGTTTTTCAGTAGTAGTCATCAACTTTGAGGACAAAGAGCAAAACAAAACATTAATCAAATCCAGATTTTTCAAAGTACATTTGCACTCAACAACTCCCATTTTGAGCACCTACAGCCACCAACAGATGTTCTCTTCCAGGACCAGCTGATCCTACGGAAAAGATTACTGGCCCCCCCGCCACTGCTTCCAGCCATGTGCCCCCATCCCACCCTTGCTGAGGTTTACTGTCCTTTCAGATAAAGCCAGACAAACTGCCTTGCACCATTTCTCCTTCAATCACTTCAGCAAAATAAGCTAGACTGGCAAAGAGTTGTTATTTGAACAGTTCAGCTCAAATGAACTTCTTTTGACTGAAGGAGACTAGGGAGGAATCAGACAATCATCTTGGCTGGCATGTCCATGGTGGAGAATGTCTCTCCTCCCTGCTGCAAGCCAAGCAGCTGTGGCATGCAGAGAAGAGCAACTTCCTCAGCTGGCACAGCTGGAGTCAGATGAGAACATTCGTCCCTGGCTTGAGTAAGCAGATAGATTTCCAAAAAGGGTTTGCTTTCATTTAGGGCAATTCAAAGGAAGAGCTGGATCTCCTAGTGAGCTCAGCAATCTATAGATAGAAGAAATCCAATCTGAAATTTGGGTGCTGAGCACTTCAGAAAATATGCAACATCCTTTGGATGCACAGTTGAAAATTAATGCAACTTGGAAAAGATCAGACTCCAATTTTAGGTGCTGAATAGATTCAACCAAAAAAAACCCAACCAACCAGCCAAAAAAGAAATCACCACACTTCACTGACACACAGGACAGTCTCTGCACCCTTGTTTGCTTACTGGGTTGTCATTTCACTACTGACCCACTTGAAAAATTCCCCCTTAGGTCAGGAGGCCAGTATCTTTAAAATATCCAGTCCCAAAGGTATAAACTGTTACAGGACGATTTGAAACCAGTAGCCAGAGACAAAACCCAAATAAATCCACATTTAAAGTAGCAATGCCAACCAATGAAAATGATATGCCTACCATGTTCCAGATAAGAAGGCGTACCTTCCGAGGGATCGAGTCTTCGAGCTCTCCGCCCGTGCTTGGAATTGTTGTGTACAAACATATTGTCCGACACTGCCAACACATGACCATCCACATTGACTGTTGTAGACACCACAACCTGCAAGCACAAGAGCAATATGGAGGAATATTTGGATATTTATGTATGTTTTTTAAGAAGCACAGAGTGTAATAAACTCAGTTAAATAAATAACAGCTGGGAGCTGCAGAAAATTGCATAGCTATTTCGCATAATAACTGGTGCTTATGCCGTACAAATCTAACAAGAGACGCTATTGATGAGTGGGTCTTTGGCATCGAAAGCTTTTGATGCAGTTTTAAGTCAAATTGCAGAGTTTTTAGCTGCATGGCAGACGGCACACTGTTAACCATCATTTTAACAAGAGGATCTTTATTAAGTATTTTTTCCCCTACATACAAGGGCAGCTGTGTTTCACCCTAAATTATCCTTCAGTTTCCATGCTGAAGTAGATAGAGCTGTTGACATTGCAAATAAGAATCAATTCACAATAAAAGAAAAAAGAAGTGTGTTTTGTGAAGTTGTAATAAGAGTTGTTGCATGCTGCCCCCCACCCTCCTCTACTGCTCTCCCCTCAGTACAGTCCCCACAGGTTACTGGACTTGCCCAAATTTCTCCACAGCTCTATCTTAGGGAGTACGCATAGGTATGTTTGTGTACACACGCACGCTCGACAGTGGGGTCTTGATCTGAGAACACAACCCTATTCATCCAGCGTTAGAATTATTTGTGTTTCTCAACTTATCTCAATGTCAACACCTGGGATTGGGTCTGAGGCAAGGGGAGGGAGACAGAGAAGTGCTGCTCTGGAGGCAGGATCCGACACTTCTGCTCCCCAGAGCAGCCCAAGGCAGGAGAGGAGCCAACCCAGTGCAGCAAACAGTTAAGTGTTGGGTCCAGAATAGAAGACCCAACTGCTCAGAGGTGTTCAGAGGGATCTCCCAGCCTCGAGGCTCAGCAGGCACCATCCTATAGGAAATCCCTATTCAGGCTGAGGGTACACAAGCTACGAACAGTCATGGAGCAAACGGGGGGATGCATGAGGCAAGTCCCTAGCAGAACTGCGAGCTCATCACACCGGTCTCCTCCCACTCCACTCAGACCAAACAACCTCATAGCCTCCCTGGCTTTCATTCAGCTGCCCCTCCCACAGTCTTTTCCCAAAAAGTGTGGTATTCCCATGGTTTTACTCCAGCCAAAGATTTGGCCTTCAGCTGGCTGCTGGTTTGCCAGGAGCAGGCGTCGCCTTGGAGAACTTTGACTAAAACAATGAGAAGAAATGACCTACACTTCTCCTTACATTAAACAGGGAAAGGGATTAAAAACTGAAACCCACAGAGATATGTTTATTCATGCGACCTCTTACAACCAAATATAATAATTGTCTGTTAATTGCAGTTTCAGCTCCCACCTCATGCTTCGACATGTGAAACAGCAATCAGCAGCTTCTGTTTAATCCACCTATTATGTTGACTAATTAACTTTGCTCGACAGTTTATTTCTTCCTCCATTATCAGCCCCTGTCAGCCGCAAGCACACTGCCGCAAAGGGGGACCTCAGCCCTTTTGATTGATCACCGATAGATTGACATGCAGATTAATTTAATTAGAATCACCTCACTTGAGAAATGAAAGACAATGGCAAGGGGGCTAATAGATCTGCTCTTATAATGAGGCAAGCCTCCAGAGCCACGGCAGAGGATTTCTGATTTATTTTGCTGAATTCCCCAGTCGCTCTGAAAGGCTCTCGCTTTAATTGTTCTTGGTTTTGAGAGGCTTTAGCCTCTGAAGAGGTGAAATGCTTTACAAGGATTGGCAAACATCGCTTCAACTCTCTCAGGAAGCTGCTGCCTCTCAAAGTTGGTCAAATGGGGACACTTAAAGGATCGCTTACAACAATTCAATTTCATCACTTGAATTGGATCTAAAAAAAAAAGTTAAAGTAAAAATTTTCTACCTATTTCTGACCACCGATTAAGATGCTCAAAAATATAAAGTAAGCAAAGCAGCTAAACTGCTCATAGCTAATCCCAAAGTCTGACTTTAAAAAGAGGAATGCAAAAGAGAATAGTTTACATCTAAAGGATCCTAAAACTGTCTCAGAATGGCATTCCAGGTAACAGATTTTTGTGCATGTTTTAGGTGAAAGATATTAAAATACAGAATAAATGATTCAAGAGCTCTTACAGATGGAAATTTGGGAAAAAGAAAGCACCAAACACTATAGGTAAGTTTTTCTGAAATCAAACTAAGGGGAAAAAAAACCCCAAGCCCTATATATAAAATTCCAAAAGGGATTTCAAAAGTAATTTATCCATTGCATTCCTGAGGGATAGAATAAAGTTTATGATATTTTCAATAAAATATGATCTTATAGTAAGTGGCTCAGGCTTTGCAATCTTCTTTGTGCACTTGCAAGCATTGTAAATTCTTTGCAACTGGGATTTTGAGCCAAATCCTTCACTGGCGTTACCTGTCACAGCTTCATGACTTGTGCCAGCTCCTAATCTTCTATGAGACTGCTTAGATGCATATGAAAATTAACATTATAAAAATTAACAACAATGGCTACCACATAAAATATTTTCCTCAAACCTTAAAACCATAGAGCTACACACACATTTCCCACTGAAGCTGATCAATCCTGTGCTGAAACCCAAACTTTTGAAGATTTCTAGAAAAAGGATCCCAGAACAAAAATGGGTCAAGAATAATAATAGCAAGGTAGGTCTCAAAATCTTGTCTATAAGTAGCTGTTGCTGTACAAACATATTTCTAGGGAAGAACTCAAGGAAACAATCCTAGTGAGGTCAGTTTTATGTGAGTAAATCTACACTTAATTTTTGATCCCTCAGGTTCACGAAACTGTTGACGCAAACTATTTTGAATTACTTAACAGTGTCTTCCTACCTCCTGAACAAAGAGTTTGATTTACTACAAAGAGACCACATTGATGCGGTTCTTCGGTATCGTTAGCAGAAGAAACTATAAAAGGAATCCCCAAGAGAAACTGTTTCCACTCTCAGGAAATGCAGAAAAAAAAGCAGTTATTCTTATGTATCTGTCTGAAAAAAAAAAATGATTATTCATAGTGCACCTGTATGAAGCAGACATGCTCACTGCTCAATCCTTTAAATGCAAAGTCTCATTAATACAGGAATACTGAACATACGCTGCACTAATGAAACAGTAATGCCCATAATTATTAACAGAGAGAAAAATACACCTTGAATATTGTGTGCCACAGTTACATACTTGGATCGCTACAGAGCACTTACATAGTTACAAGTTCTACTCATATTTTTTAATCTAAAAAAATACTTCACTCTCCTCATTTTGATTTTTAAATTACTGGGATATGTTCAAGTTAAAGCATATGCTAAAACTAATTTGTGGAGAAATCATAAAATTATGGGGAGGGGAGAGCCAAAGTATATGTGGAATGGGCACCAAGGCATCCTAAAACACAGACCATAGCAAGAGGGAAAGGCACACTACAGTTTAATAAATGATTAATGAGGTGCTGACACATTAATGTAAGCACAGGGACAACCAGGCCTGCCAAATCTCAAACCTTTCCAAATTTTGTCAACAAAACACAGTTTTAATTTGGGACAGGCAAACATGGAAAATGATTTTGAGCTTTAGCTTTAGCCCTTCCTAGATTTTGAATTTAAACCCTGTATCAACACCAGGGGAGACAGGGGTATGAAAGAAACACATCACTTTACAACTTTCTTCAATGAAGTTGGCACTATCAACTGCATTAACATATCACGGCTCTGTGAATTATCCTGCCTGCCATTAAATAGTTCAGTTTGTGAATTCTTTGGAGCTTAGTTTAAAAAAAAAAAATATTCAGAGACCAGGAGCCTGGAGATCAAGCTATTTATCCACGTTTAGCACTCAGCCTGTTTATTTGTTATACTACCTCACCTAATATATCAAAATTAGGCATTGCATGACTCCTCATTTTTAACCACAGCTCATTAGGCTTTGTTAACTGATTAAGACATAGCATGTTCCTTGTGTTTTCAATTTTCTCCGATGTATGGTGAGGGCTCTGATACTTTTTGCAATGTCCCCAACATCCAGTGGCAAAGGCAGAGAAAATCTGATTATGATGATTTCCAGGTTTGAAGTGTGTCATTAGTGTTAAACCTGTAACTCCAGTGTTTGCTGCTCTTCTGAAAGCTGGAGCAACATCTTTATTTTCATCACCACTTAGTGACCTCTTCCTACAACGTGTTGACTTCTTTAGTCCAGCAACTCAAAGTCACTCTCAATTTAAAAAGACTCTTAAAAAGGTGCCTAACTTAAAGCACAGAAGTACAGTAGACTCAGTAATTTTGCTCACGTGCTCAAGGACAGGCCGGGCACTTAATTACCTTGTTGAATTGGGCCAGAGCTCTCACTGCTATTTTTCAGCCTTTTTTTTTCCCCCCTTTCCCTTCTCTAGGGATGGAGCCTTGCATGTCCAAATTCCATTATCTGGGATTCATGAAGCATCATCTCTGTCTCTTATGCAAATTTGCAATAAGACACAAGTGGCTTCAATTCAAACATGAGTGGCAGCGTCCCATGAAGGCAAACTAGCAGCCTAGGCTGAGGAAGAGGTTGTGGTAACAGAATCAAACAGCACAGCAATTTCTAAGTGACTTTCAAGGTTTTCATAATAAACGAATGTTTAGGGTTTTCTGCAGTGACTCAGTCTGAAAAGTTTCCTCTAAATTAAAACTTGACATGTGTCAGTTTGCAAGCAGTCGTGCTAAAACAGGAACAACAAGATAACTAGGGCACCTGGGTTTCATTAATTACAATAACATACAAAACTGTTTCAGTTGTATGAATGAGTTTTTAGTGCTGAAAAATAAAATCTGGGCAGAGCTCACGCATGATACCATCTAATTAGTATTGTTATTATTATTACCACGAATTGGGGCATTACAGCCCATCCCACCAAGACTGATGCCTTATTGTGATGAAGAATGCAAAACCTGACTGAGACAAAAGAAGTCTGAGCATCTGCTCCTGGGGATTTCTGAAATTAAAAGGCAAGGATGGACAAAGGTGGCAATACATGATGTCACCAAATGTTTTGTGCAACGGGGCTGGTGAAACGCAGAGATGAAATTATTTTCTCAGGGACAAGCAGTGAGTCTGCAGCACAGTTAACACTCAAGTCAACTGTCTTGAGTCCCTGCATAGTACTCGACTTCTCCTCTCTGTTTCCTTCTGCTAACAGAGACACAACTAACACAGCCAGGGCCAGCACTGCTCCAGCACACAATTTTTCTGGCACTGAACACCACTCCAGCTGTCACACACCTGGACATCTCGGACGTACAGAGAAACGTATTTCCTTCCAGGCCCACAACGGCTTGTATGTCAGACTTATCACACTACTACATTTGTATGCAAAGTTCAGGAAAAAACTTCCTAATCCATTAAAGCATTCCTAATCACTACATGTGAGTCTCAATGAAGTTTCATACACAGGTCACCTGAATCAACATATTCTCTGCCTCTTCCCTATACTTTCTTAACCTCTCTTATACCATATGATAATCAGACAATTCCCTGCTGCAGGAAAAAGAAACAAAAAACAAAACCTGGAAATTTTCTGCAGAGCTGGTCCTTAAATAGTGCAAGACTGGTATCCCTGGCCCTTCACTATTTCTCCCACAATTTCTCCCATAACCTGCATTCTAATAACTCCTAGCAACATTTGGGAACTCATGAATGAGAGACCATGGCCAAAAGATGGACAAATCTCTGGACGAATCTCCAGCACAGACAGGGGAAAGAAGTAAAGGTA